CATGACACAGATCAGCAGCAACATGACACAGATCAGCAGCAACATGAAACAGATCAGCAGCAACATGACACACAACACATGACAAAACATTTGACAAAACAAAACATGTCAAAAGTTTTCTGATGACTCTGCCACAGTCGGCCTCATCAAGGTGAGGACGACTCAGAGTACAGACAGCGGACACAAGACTTTGTGGACTGGTGCCAGCAGAACCACCTCCTGATCATTGCTGCTAAAACTAAGGAGCTGGAGGTGGATTTCCACATGCACAGGTCCACCTCACTGACCCCGGTGAACATCCAGGGAGTGGACATTGAGATCATGGACTCTTACAAGTACCTGGGTGTTCACCTGAACAATAAACTGGACTGGTCTCACAACACTGATGCACTTTACAGGAAGGGTCAGAGCAGACTCTACCTGCTGAGGAGACTGAGGTGTTTTGGAGTGCAGGGGGTGCTCCTGAAGACCTTCTTTGACTCGGTAGTGGCATCAGCCATCTTCTGTGGTGGTGTGTGTTGGAGCAGTAGCTTATCATCAGCTGAGAAGAAGCAGTTAGATAAGCTCATCAAGAAGACCAGCTCTGTGCTTGGACGCCCCCTCAACCCAGTGCAGGTGGTGGGAGACAGAAGGACTCCAGCTAAAATAACATCATTGCTGGACAACGTCTCCCACCCCATGAAGCTGTTGCTGAACTGGAGAGCTCGTCCAGAGAGTTCAGTGACAGGTTCCTGCTCCTAAATGCACAAAGGAGCGTCACCGCAGGTCCTTCCTCCAGCAGCTGTTAGACTCTACAACCATCACTGCTCCAACAAACTCAATAAGGGTTAAATACATGCTGACCTCTGCTGAAACACACTCTGCCTGTAATACTGTACTGTCAATAGTCTGTCCTTATCAATGTTCCAATACATATTGAACATTATTATTGATATTGTTTATCTTATTTCTTTGTATTGTTTATTAACATTTAGGAACTTTTGTGTAAATCTTGTTATCTGTTGCTGCTGTTACACTTGAATTTCCCATCCGTGGGACAATAAAGACTGTTTCTATTCTATTCTCTCATCAGCAACATGACACAGATCAGCAGCAACCCTGTACATAATTTCATCCCACCACATGTTCAACATGTGGTGTGTTTTCAGTATTTATTCAACATTTTATTTTTTTACTTTAAAAATAAAATCAAGTCCTTATCGGCACAAATAAAGTGATGTGGAACATGTTGCATCTGTTCTTACCGAGCACAGAAGCTGCAGCGTTGTGCTGCTCTGTGAGGTGCAGCTGGGCTGTGATGGAGCTCTGTCAGGTGTAGACTCCTCTGATGGAGCAGGAGCCGGGAGGCTTGGAGGGTTTAATGTGGAGTTTAGAGATGAACCGTCACGCGCTGAAATACGTTCTGGATAAAATACAGTGAGAAACGGGACCGGAGGACAGTTAGCATTTATGCAAATTAGCTTAGCATCGTAGCACCGACGTTGTCCTATTATGGCGTCAGCCTCTTTTGTTAGTTAAAAATATGTTCAGAACCGATGGGATGAGTCACTTAAAATATGTTTAAAGTTAGAAAACACTCACCATCTTCTATAAATGATTCAAATAGAGCAGTAGTCGTGTCCAAACCACCCTCCAGTCGCTCCATCTAGCTCGCTTTGGCTTTTTTCGTCGGCCACCAAGCACAACAACACCTGCACTTCTGCATTTGACCACGGCTTTGATATTATTGTTGTTGTATAGCTTCAAAATACTAAAAGATACGCTCCTCGAGTTATCGCTAATAGCAAGCGGTAGAGAAAAATGGCGGATCGGGTTGTTTGGAAAGACTCCACAGACGGGGCGGCTGTGGCTCAGTGGTTAGAGCAGTCGTCCTCCAATGCGAGAGTTGGGGGTTTGAATCCACGAGCAGTCACATGTCGAAGTGTCCCTGGGCAACACACTGAACCCTTCATCGCCTCTGATGTGTGTCTATCAGTGTATGAATGTGATAAAGCTCTGATTATTCTCTTTAGAATGATTTGTTCAATTATCTTTGTAGAGATCTAGTATAGAGCTGTATGAATGGGTACATGAGGCACAGATTGTAATGTAATGCGCTTTGAGTATCTTGAAATAAGATAGAAAGGCGCTATATAAGTACAGTCCAATTACCATTATTCCTCCCCCCGACCAATCAGTGACCGACAGTGTTTCTGATGTCACGGCTCGGCTCGCTTGGACCCCTTGAGAAGCCGGGCCAGAATACTGGGGGTGAGCAGGTACGAAGTACTAATGGAAATGTCCTCAAACACGGGCTGAGCCGGAAATATTTGACCTGCGCCGTGACAGTGGAAAAGGAACATTATTTAGGCCGGTTCCGGTGGGACCGCTTTATTTCTGTCTCGACAGTGCCCATAGTTCTCCTTTAGTGGGCGCATCATTAATATCAACGCGCCTTACCAGCTGGTGGTGCAAGTGCTACATTGAGCTCTTTACTAACCACCACTAACACGTATTAGAAAACGAGGAGCTGGAAAAGAGCACACAACCAAAATGGATGATGTCATTTCTGTTTTGAACATTCTGCTTTGCCTGTGGCTTTTTCTCCCTGTTTATGTACATGTATGTATGTGTGTATATATATACACACATACATACATTATGTTTTCATGTTGATTAATTTTGTGAAAAGTTTGTTTTATCAAAACCAGAATAAACGTGTTTTTGTTGTGGGTCAATAAGCAGCCTATTTCCACTTGTGCCTAAGAAACCCGTAAAAGCCTTTGAAATTTAACTTGCTTTGTTTTTTTCTCCTGTCTCCTAATCTCTGTATTTATTCCATCTTTTTGCTTTCTGTTTCACTCTGTCCTGCTCAGTTTGTGTTTAGTTGTCATGTTTAGTTTTTGAACCTTGTGGTTGATTCTTCCAGGTACTGAGGATGCCTACTTCAAAGTACCAAACAGGGGACAAGGTGATGGGCCGCTGGCCTGGCAGCAGCCTGTACTACGAAGTAAATGTTCTCAGCTTCGATGCCAACAGTCTGCTTTACACCGTTATCTACAAGGATGGGACGGAGCTGGAGCTCAAAGAGCAGGACATCGTGGTATGACCAGAGTCAGAAACCCTTACAGGGACAATCTTCATAATGTAAACTAGATGTTTTTCTGTGGGAGGTGTTTTTAACTTATTTGAAGAGCTTACATTCAATTTTAAAATGCAAATGTTGGTAGAACTTTGGTGAATTTTAGACCTATACCTATTTTTGGATATGGTATCTTGTTGTGTGTTTTTTATGAGAGATATTTTTTGTTTGTTGTTTTGCCACAGAATTTCTCTGCTTTCCAAACACGCACTCGCTCCCGTTCACGCTCACCAGGACGCCGTCGCAGCCGGTCACGCTCTCCTGCAAGGACCACTCGCCGTTCATCCTCTCGTACAGCTGCAGCAGCTGCTACTGCAGCCATAGCAGAAATTGCACAGTCCTCTCACAAAGACACAAAGCTGAAGGAGACGTTGGAAGTCAGGCTCAGCCCCATGGTAAGAACATTTTTACTGGTAAAATGCTTATAAAAAATTCTTAATTTTTGTGGTACATTTCAAATTTTAAGATAGCTTCCACATAGAGGTATTTAGCACTGCTGTAAGTCCAGCTGTGTTTAGGTTAGTTCTGAATCATTTCACTGTGATTATTTACTACAAACAAAGATGGCACAACCTGTTTCAGGCAAGATGAGTCTTACTCTAGTTCAGATATTTAAAACTTATTTTCTAAATTATCTAGAAAAGATTTCAGATGTCCAAACTCATTAGTCCTTTGTCCCTTTGGGAAAATTTGTCAGTCCCTGTCCCACTTCACTGTGGCTTTAACCACATCGTAGTGCTGGCCCCATTTCACTTTGCTTTTCATGTTTTTGTCTCCCTCAATCTCCCTTTAATGTTTGACGGGCTGCTGCAGTCAAAGACAACAGAGAACAACAGCACCAGTAAGCATGAAAAGAAAGAGGAGAATAACACTGCTAGCAAAGTAACTGAGGTAAGTTTTGCTTTGCGGTTTGAAAATGTGCATAAAAAGGGTTAATAAATGTAACTTGTTAAAGTTTCAAACACTGAAATACAAACATTGACACAGCTGGCACAGGTACAGAACCCTCAGATTCTATTAAATTTATTCATCAAGTGATTGTTTTTCATCACTCACTTTAGTTTTCTGGATCAAAGACTACCTGACAAACAGACCACAGTTTGTGAAACTGAAGGGTTGTGTGTCTAACCAGGTGGTCAGTAACTCAGGAGCACCACAGGGGCCTGTACTCTCACCATTCCTTTTCACTCTGTACACCTCAGATTTCCAGTACAAAACAGACTCCTGTCATCTGCAGAAATATTCAGATGACTCTGCAGTGGTCGGGTGTATCAGAGATGGACAAGAAGCTGAGTACAGGGAACTGGTGGACCACTTTGTGGCATGGTGTGGAATCAATCATCTCATCTTGAATGTAGGGCTGCAACAACAAATCAATAAAAATAGATGATTAAAAGCGTTGGCAACGAATTTCGTTATCGATTCGTTGTGTCGCGCGATTAAGCGTCTTTCACGGCGCTGCGGAGCCGTTTCGTTTTGTTCACAGGCAGTTCATTGTGAATGCTGACTGACTGAATAAAGTTTGAAAAAATAAAAAGAACTGCAGTGTGAGTTGAACAGAGCGAGGAAGAAGAAAAGTAGAGTATTTTCAAAGGAAATTTTACAATGACCGACGCAGCGAAAATGGCTCGACCCAAGTCCTCCAAAGAGTGGGAGCTCTTCACAAAGATAAAAACTGAGAAGCATGCAGCTTTGAAAATCACCGACACGACACGTGAGAACCACGGAGATAAAACGTACGTAAACATGTCTGAGTCACGAGGAGGAGGAAGGAGCTGAACAGCTGATCCAACTCTTCATGTGTTGCAGGTGAGTCTCTACAATATTCTACATTTGTTCTGTTTCAAGAGAGAAAACGTAACGTCAGTCTCTCTGGAGCTGAAGCTGCTGCTTGTTCTCTGATTCATGACGTGATGGAGAACGTGTCTTACTTTGTATTTTATTTCATTGGAACAAGCAGAGTTTAAATGTGATTTATTAATAAATCTAACACAAAGATAATCATTTAATGATTGAGCTTCAACTTTTAATTTGCTGACAAAGTCTGAAGACACTGCAGGTATGGCAGGATGAATTGCATTTAAACAGGAATTAAAGTCATTTATTACATCTACTCAAGTGTGTAATTAAGTATTTTACATGTGTGTGTTTAATTGCTCTTTTAGCTACTTTTGCCTGAACCTAACACTGTAAGTGAAACAAGGCATTTCTTGAGTTGCTGTAAATTATGATATAAAACATATTTACTGTCTCATTCCAGAAAACAACAACAAACAACAACATCCTTCATGATGGACAGACATCATGGACACCACAGCAGCAGCTGTCTTCACTGAAACATCCTGAACATGATCGTCACTGACATGAGGCCTCTGTCCATGGTTGAAGACAAAGGATTCACTATAATGATCCACACTTTTAATCCAGGTTACAATAATCCACACTTTTAATCCAGGTTACAATGATCCACACTTTTAATCCAGGTTACAATGATCCACACTTTTAATCCAGGTTAC